GAGGGATCTTCGACCCTGGTCGTGCACAATTAACAGATTGACGTGAAACTACCCTGAAAATATTTTATTTTATCTGTACGCAGGGTGTCTTGTAACGGGGAGCGATTCTGTGCGAAAAAATGAGACGGAAGCGTGGAATAGAATTTTTTGCCCCCACATTTACGAGAAAATTAATTTCGAATCTATTTGGAACACGCTTCATCGGTATAGGGCTTAACCCTTTGGCGTACGATTTAATTACGAGTAGTTTTTTGTTCGTATGTATTTGTAGAATCTGTCGTCAGAGAGTCAAGCAATCGAGAAATGCAGTCAAGCTGTCTCTGGCTGGATATTGACAAGTTCACACCATGATGGTATATTTAAAACGTTCTACCCATCAATGTTGATGGACGTCTGTTGATATCTGTGATGTCTGCTATGAAACGCGACGAACGATATTTCATCGACGTACAGATACATATTTCATCGATCTGCAGAGTGTTTCTACAATTGGATCAGAAAGTATAGTAAGAGCAAATGGGGCAAACCTTTGTAAATCTAGATATACTTACATATTAGCGTAAAAGAATCTTGTATTTGATTGGAAATGCGAGGTTAGGTAGTGCTGGACCAATTACACGCCGCCTCGATCACGTGATTTAACAAAAATCCAAACTGAAATTAATTCACGACGTCTGTTAATCTTGTGGTCATATTCTGTCGTTTGCTACGATGCATTGAAAAAATTTCAAATATAACTTTATCCATCCAGGATCCATGATCGAAGGAAGATACCTTCAACTTCAAATTTAGACATTTTCGAGTACTTCGATGATTGTCAGTCGCCTGTAATTCGCGAATCGGACGGGCCAGACTTCGTGAGTGTCTAATTTCGGCATCAAAGCAAGGCGCGAGCGATTTTCCGTCAATTGAACGCGACTGCCTTTGGAACGACCAGCGACAAAGCTGCATTGTGCGTCGCGAATCGCGCGTGGCGACCTAAACGAGTCTCGCGTGCAGCCGCTCAAAGCGGAGTACATATATTCCGCCTGCATCCGGCCGTTTAAGGGACTATTCTAATTTGAATACGAAAAAATGAATATATTTTCGGTACTTTACGAGAAAAAAATCACTCAAGACAACACTTTGACATCTTACACAAAGTTACAGAATTTATTTCATACAAAAGTATATAACAGATTGAAAGAAATAGGTGCTGCTTGCCCCATCATTGCAAAAAGAAAATTGGTTTGTGATTTTGTCATGAGATTGATTAAAAAAATATTCTTACCTCATTGGCTGTAATTTGTCGATTCTCGGTAGCCTCTGTCTCCCCGTTTCCTCCATGAAAATACAGGATACTTTTCTACCGGACAACCGTACGCCTGGGGGCGGAAAAACGATCGTCCGGACCCGTGTGTTTGATAAAGAAAAAGCGAACGAAACTCAGACCAAGAGACAATTACGATTCTAATCCCGAGAACCGAATCCCTGGACGCTGGGGCGCGTCTTGAGCGATGTGGACGGTTTAGACCTTGGAACTAGAGCTGGAGGCATTACTCCATTTTGCTCTATGTTCGAATATTCGATCGCTTCGACGAATACAGTATGTTTCAAATCGATCGAACAAGTATATAAATTCCTTGTACAAAAAGACATTGAAAAGTCCATTACTATTTTGCAATGTGAAGCTTAGGTATCGAGATATTAGCATTTAAATATTGCGTCGAGTGAGCGCTTGTGGCGCTGCGCGATCAGCTGATTAGAGTGCAACTAACGCGGGAATTTAACTGCTTGTATCTCGAAAACGGAGCCCAAGATTGTAAAATGGTTAAGGAGTTTTCGATTTCTTTTTTCAAGAGGAATTTATACACTTCGATTAATGGTAAATAAATGAGGTATACAAAGTAATACATGAAGTTATAAAGCGACGAACTGAGAATTTCGACCCTCCGTGGGCAACTATACATGATTTCTTATTATCTTAGACTTTAGAAAACTCGGAAAAATTCGGGGTTAATTTAGTATATGAAGGACTTTGAATAAACACAAAAATTTGCTTGTGTCTTCAGCGATCCAGGTGTCCAAACGGAGGATTATCGATATGAAGTTTTATTCGTCGTTCGCCATTTTAGATTTCCATTATCGCAAGGGATCTAGGAAAAATGATATAAAAGTTGGGAGTCAACGTATGTGAAGGAAGCGACCGAGCGACGAGACAAGTACGAACGATCCCGCCGATCGAGAAACGTGTCCAGCGATCGACGCGAACGAATTACGTTCGCGTTCTCTCGGCGGCTAATCAAAAATCGATCTTTCCTCTCGTCGCGCGTATGCTACGGGATTATCGGCGTGTATTTACTGTCAAAGGCTTACGAGTGTAACGTACGGTATTTATTTTACACAGGAACGTTCCATTGCGTTCCGACGTGGTTCAGTTTTGCGTTCAGCACAAAAAATTGCTGGGCTAAATCCTTTTCGCGCTCATCCACTCCGGTCGTCCACAAATTCACGCACACGCGTACACACACACACGCACACACGCGCGCACACATATCTCTGTCTCTGTTTCGCGTAAATTTCCACGCACACCTTACAGCTACGAGCGTTTTCCCGATAAAATCTACTTGGTTTTTAGAACGATTCCTCTTTCGCAGCGACCAACGGAATATTTTACAATGGCGGCAAAAACGACGTGGTTTGCCAACTGGGGGGGGTGTCCGCTCGGGGAGAAATACGGTTTCGACGCTGCTTTTATATCACAAACTGTTCGTTCGCTCTCTCCTTCTCCCCCTCTCTCTCTCTCTCTTTTCCCTTTTTTGTTTGTTTTTTCGTTCCGCGCGCACATTTCGTTACTCGTCATTGCGGCTCGTTCAAACATCATCGCGGCACATTGGATTGAAACGCGAAAATAACGGGGAACGCGGTGCTCCGACGGTTTATAACGGTTACTACGTTCGTTTAATTTTTTAATTATATCCGGGGGATTTTACGAGCGGGGCTGCAATCGAGCGCTTGTTATTCTTCGTTTACGTATCACCGCGTATTTATCTTTCCGCTCGGACGACGGATTCCATACTCCCCCTCTCTCTCTCACTCTTTGCACTGTTTCTCTGTCTCTGTAACGGCGTTCTCTCTCTCTTCCACCCTTCCCAGCGAGGGAAATTTAAATGCCCCGATAATATCCTCGAAGAGATACGCTCGTTTTCTGCACGTCAACCCGCGTAAACCGATTACCCTATTGAGGCGACCCACGTGCGTGGGACGATCAACGGCCTAACGCCTCCAGCGATCGACGAACGCTCTTTCGTACATCGGATGACAATAATCGATCGAACTTAAGGGGTTAGGCCACCGGAGTCGGGCGAATTTTGTCCACGAATAACGAACAAACTTTTCCGTTCGTTCGTAAACTATTTAGGTAACGCCAGATTCTACACACGGCTCGTCAAACGCGAACAAACTTCGAAGAAAATTGTCAGATTTTATGCATTTACAACGAATATTAAAGGAAACCTATGCGGAAGATATGCAGGATATATTTCACAGAATAATATAGCAATATTAATATTTCATTTTGCACAAGTATTATACGCCGAATACCTTTAGCACATGTTTTCCATATTCCCATAAGCCGTAGATGCACGAAATTCCGTAGTTTAGGTATTGTACTGCCTCTGTTGTTGCTCAGAAGACCAAAGTAACGAGGATTCTTCGAAGATTTTTTGTTATCGGACGACAATGTTTACGAGGCGGTTGTTGCGTCGATGTTTCTTCGCTTTTGTACCTTTCAGTTACGAACGAAATTGATTCTCCTGCGGCGAATGAAGCAAATTTAAGAACGCGGACGCGAAATCCCAGGTCAATTGTTTTCCCAAGTCGTGGTGGGGGTTTTCTTCGTGTTGTGTTTGTGGTCGAGCTGCGCGAACACGACTAGTCGATAGGCTACTTTCGCTGGAATATTTACAACCGCTGGAAACGTCTGCCGATTGTTCCACACTAGTTTCGATGAAACTTTATATTTTCGTAGTGTAGATAAAAATAAGATACAGGTATTCCTTTTTTACATATCAAACTTTGAATTTAAGGGATGGAAACGTCCTTGGATCTTGCTTTTGCAGACATTCTGGAACCTACTGAATTTATTTATGTCTTTGGAATATTGAAAAAGAATATTACTTCTTCTTTGATTTGGTTTCCACCTTTTTAATGATTGTATGGAAATTGTGTTATTGTGAATGAATCTATAAAATAAAATGCATCATTGTGGCATGTAAAATCACACATAAGTACAATTCACTACTTTACAATATCACTTTCAATTTTATACACCACAATTATGCATTTTTTTCGAAGATTCTGCACTATTTCTGAAGTGGGTATAAAGTTAAAAAATGTAAACACAGAGCAAGGGTAGTTCCATCCCTTAAATTCAAGCCTCTGTCTATAAAACGCATAAATACTTACGCTAGCATGCAAAATTTCATCGCAATTAGTATCGAACTCTGTACAGAGGTTCCTCGTCGGACCACTAGCACGCAAACAATCAACAATGGCGACCGGACCTAACCTAGACTTAACCTCTTCGCGCCTCGAGCAGCTCGACCGTTCCATACTCACGCCTAAGTAAGAAAACCAACATAACATCGTTCAATATTGTACAGGGTGCCCCACCTAAAGTGTTGCAAGCTGGCTTCCCTGGAACCATTAAAGTTACTCCTCCGAGAGGAAGACAGGAAACAGTTTCAAACATTTTAATTCGTTTGCTCGTAAATAGTTCAATGAAAGAACCAAAGGACGAAACTTCGTAAAAGCAACGTTCCTATCGTAACGGTATCCTCCAAAGAGAGCAGCTTGCAGCGCCTCAGGTGGGACACCCTCTACAATCGTCCAACACTTCTCTCGACGATCCCATACAAACCACGCTCTGTTAGATGTCTCTGCGCACTTCTCCCCGTCGAATGATCCCACGACAACTACGAAGTCGAAGACGACGTCCGCCCGGAGGATCGTCGAGTTCGCTACGCGTGCGGGTGCGTGTGCGGATGTGGATGCGTCGAGAGCGTGAGCCCTGTGCTGGAGGGTGTGGAGGTGGGCGGGGGTCCGGCGGGCGTCGCGGGGCTTGCGGACAGATGATGACCGAAGAACGTCGGTCCGGTCGGAGGATAAGGTGGCGCGGCTGGGTGATAATAGCCAGGTGGCGGCGGGACGGGCGGCGGATGATGGACGTGTGCGTGCGGATGTGGGTGGCCGTGGGTGTGGGGAAGTGGGTGTTGGTGGGGGTGGGTGGCGAAGAGGAACGCGGGCGCGTAAGGCGAGGGGTGTGGCGGCGTGGTGGGCACCGTCGGACTGTTGACGTCCAGCCCGGGATTCTGTTTCTTCCACTTGGTGCGCCGGTTCTGGAACCAGATCTTCACCTGGGTCTCGGTCAGCGAGAGGGACAGCGCCAGGTTCAGACGCTCGCAGACGGACAGGTATCTGGTGGTCTTGAACTTGTTCTCCAGGGCGACCAGCTGCTCGTAGGTGAACGCTGTCCTGGCCCTTCTGGGCTTGCCGCCCGTCCCGCCGCTACCGCCGGTGCCATTCTGGCTACTCTGGTTCTGACCCTGACACCCCTGTGCCTGCACGCTACCCGACGACGACGACGACGACGACGACTGCCTCTTCTTGCAGCTGGACGACGACACGTGGCTGGTAGCCGCGTTGCTGTTCTCCCTGCCGGCGTTCGACGAGTCCTGGTCCGTCCCTTTCATCTCCACGTCCTCGTCCTCCTCCTCCTCCTCCTGGTCCTCGTCCATGTCCTCCATCCCCGTGTCGGGCGTGCCCTCCTCGTCCTCCTGGCCGCTGCCGCAGGCGAACTCACCCCGCGAGTCCCCATCTGAAAGTGATAACGAACTGGATCAGCGGGGGACGTCTCTCCGCGCGGAAGATCACCGGGAAGGAAAGCGACACGGTGTTGTGTGACGAAAATTGATTATCACCGAACCGGGGGAGGAGGGAGATAAAATTGCGAGCCGGGTATCGGTTTACCTATGACGGAGAGGTAACCAGAGACCGGGACGCCGTTTCGCACCCTGTTTCGCGCCACGTTGCGGACAGTATCGTGGTTCGCGCTCGGATTCAATGGCGGATCTCGGTTGGACGTTTTGCGGCGCGACGCGTTGTTATTGTGTGATACGTCTATAGCGGCAGGGAAACGCGGAGATAGGGGACGGGAAGGGGAAAGTATAGTTTGACGCGTTTAATAAGATCCCTGAGGTAGTGATCGATAGGGAGCTGGAGATGGGTCTGTCGCCTAGGCCTGTAGTTGGGTGTCATTTGATAGCGTTTGGATGAAGCGAGACTGTGGAAGGATGACAAGTCGAATTTAGCCCGGGGGTGTTATTTATTTAAATTGTCCAAGTATAGATTTCGGTTTGAACTCGACAGGGGATCTAATTAGGAGCTTTTTTAAAATTGGTATTCTTTGTCTACTTTATGACACCAACATGGCGGGACAGAATCGTTCTAGGTGATTTAATGCGGTATTAATTTGTAGACCTGATAATTGGTTTCGTAGTTCATTGGCATTTTTAGTGAAATAATAATCTGTAACGTGTTAATTCTGCTAGATCGTATGCTTTTACGATGTGGCATTAATTTTGATCATTCAGGGAATAAATAACAATACATAACATAGTGATGGAAACATCATATAAATGTATAATTCTGTAGAGTTACGCGGGTCATTATTCCGCAGAAAATATGAATGAACCACGAAAGTAATTTATATATCAGAATTCCATACAATTCATACGTTATGTTTCATTTTAATGTTAGGTTTGGACAAAAAATTAAATGATTAAGGTCTCGTTCGGGTCGATCGCGTTTAAACTTCAAAAAATTAAATCGTGAATACCATTTGGGGGTTCGGAGCGTGAGCCGTGCCCATCGGGAAAAGGTCAGCTGATCAATTAAAACCTGTGGCTGATGCTCGGTGATTCGTTAACGAGCATGGATGCATTAAATAAACAACAACACTAGTATCATGAATCTTTTGACTATCGATGAAGCCGGGTGCACCATTGACCGATCGCTGGAACTCGCTTCTGGGGACACAATTTGCAACCGGATATCAACTGTGAATTAAATACCGATTTCGATCAAACGTAACTGTGTACACGTTGTTTCGACGTTGTGGAAAAATTTCTGTTGGGTCTGGCATATCGTCGGACCTCGTCGGTGCCTCGAACCATGGATACCCGAACGGGAGTACGTTTGTCGTAGGCCGCGATTCAGGCTCGCAGAGGCTCGCGGCGCGTACCGAGGCGCGTTTAATTTAATTTCTGTTTGCCGGAGACGACGGTCGCGAAAAGGTAGCCCGGAAGACTCGACGGTCGGGGCGGATCGACGGACCTCGTGAGCGGCCGACCGCGCCAACAAACGATTGAAACGCGCGAACGTCGGAGAGAGAGCGGCGTTCGGGGGAAAGAGAAAGAGCGGCCAATCGTTCGCTCAATGAGAGAGGAGATTGGAGATTCAATCAGCACGCAGATGTCCCGGGGACAGATATTCCCTGGCTCCGGTCCGTGGAGGCTGGGGACGCGGGACGAAGGGGATAGGTTGCCGGATAAAACCAGCGACGGATAGAGGACGGGAACGGGACCGAGAGAGAGGAGACGAGAGGACAGACCGTGGAATATCCAGGCGACGGAGAGAGGAAGGACACGGGAGGGAAAAGACAAGCAACAGAAAGGAAGACAGAGAGTTGGTGGGACTTTATCCGAATTGGCGTGGCTCGTGGCCCATAGCCCGTGGCACTCGTGCCTGGGGGTTGGAAGTCCGTAGGGGGCGACGGATCGAGAAGGTTTACGCCGTAATGGGATTTGTATCTCGTTAACGCGCGATCGTTCTTGCCCCGGTCGTGCAGGACCGACCCGCGATCGGCTGCCCTTTTCTTCTTCTTCTTCTGTGTTTCCTCTTTTCTTCGGCCGTTTCTGCAACCCCGGCGATCCGTGCTCGCCGCTCGCGGACAACGGAAAAGGCACAGCTACCCGCGTCGATTGATTGCGTCTAATTGAATTGCGTAATTGATATTGTTCCTCGGCCGCCCCTTTTCCACGACCATTCGTCCGCCGTCGGGTTTTTTCATTTTACGGCGAGAATTGCTCGATGGTCATCTGCGGACTCCGATTGTCCGCGGGGGGGAACGGAACAACCCCCTCGCTCATGAATTTTTCAAAGATACTCGGCGTTAGGAGATCTCCAACGTGGTTTCTTGGTTTTCAGGGCAAAATTACAAGTGATACACGTCAAAACTTACTAGAATTCAAAAGAAAGGGTTGAAAACGACGCGAGTTTCTCAGTCATTTGTAGCTAGATTAGTTGTAAAAGAATCAATAGGAAGCAGTTAGCGTTACATAAAAGTTCTACTGTATATTTTCGAATCAGGTATGTAATCCACACTTTGGCCAAGAGATCCATTAATTATTTCGAACCGGTGTGTGCGTGTGGCTCAAAGTGTAAATTTGGAACAGAGAAACATATGGTCACGTGTCTGAAAATATTGTTGTGACGTGTGGAGTGTACCAATAGAGGGTTCGTGGCGATTCTATCTACAGTCGGGTGAATATTAATGGTGATTTGAACGCGATGAGCGTGCATCCTGCAGATCTCTAAATATCTAAATATAAATTAGCAAGTTATAGGCACTTCCCGTTGAACTATCTAAATATTTATCGACTATTTGCAGCGCCACCGTGCCAGGGGAAACAATTCCAACATTTTTAGAATCACCATTCGTTCTCATCAATGCACTACACGACTGTTATTCCTACCCTAAGACCTACTTGCAACTAAGTTATCACCAGACAAGCTTTACCGATGAGTTCAACAGCAACCCAGGACAGCACACCGCATTCTGGTGAACATTTCTGGTATAGTTAGTCACCATTCGTTTCTATCTCAATACCTATTTGCGTCTAATTGTTCGATAGAAAACGAAAGGTACCGAATAGTCCAGTACTTCCAAGTCAACGTTCATTGAATTCTCTGAACAGGACTTGGAATACACCATCATGTGGGAAACGTATTCTAGATTCTAAACTCAACATTCGTTAGCATCAAGGTACTGTAAAACGTTTGCTTCTACCTCAAGATCCAGTTGCATCCGAGTAGTTGCAAGCCTTACTAATTAGTTCTGTAGACTTCTACCACTGCTAAAGTCATCATTCGTTTCTATTTAAGTACTATGTTTCTACCCCAGATAGCTAACTATTTCCTAGACGATCCTCACTGATGATCCCATCAGCAATTCAGGACCAACCATCTTTTAGAAAACCTTTCAAACACATTTCTAACACACACGGATTGCCACTATTGCCTTAGTTGATCACATCCATAATAAGTAACTAAAGGTGGGGATTTCTGGAAGGAATTACGTGAAGTAAATGACCTATTCCCTTGTCTCTGTGATAGCAACTTAGGATCTTTGCACGGTAGGTGCCTTAGAAACTCCTCCACCACAGATCTTCCAAGTCCTTCCGACGAACCCTCATTGAATTCCCCGAAGAGGTCCCAAAATATAGATTTGAAACTTTAGACGGAGCTCGAGAGAACATTAATTTTTCTGCGACTCGATGTTACGATGTGCTCGTCGACCATCGTGCACCGAGCGTTCCGGGCGATTAAACGTCGAACGCATCCGTAACGAGCGGACTCTTATCGCGTTTATCGAGCCTTTATAGCGCCAGGTCCTACCGTGAACGTTTATCTCGTTTAGATCTTCTTCGTTAAGCACGAGCACCGTCTGTCCGACGAGAAACGATCCTGCGCTACGCGTCCCTAGGGGGCGCGCTAAGGGTGCACAGGGGACGCAAGCGCACCCGAACCAGTCAGGAACACTTATTTCGGTTTTCCTCGTTAGGCACAATGACGGCCGTTTGACGGCGAGTGCCCCGATTTGGGAATAGCCTGATGAACAGGCTCCCCCAAAGACCGACGATGATGATCGCGCGACTTGTATCATAACCGAGAAACGTTGAGCAATGACCACCAACGGGCTAACACGATCATTTACGAGCTTGCAACGTTGTCACTCTGATAACAATTATTAATTGTTAGAATCGTATAAGCTGCACTTCCAGTTGCAATACCTAGTATTGAAAAATGGTCTAATAGCTACATAAGTTCTAGTTTATTTTAGGTTAAATTAGAGTAAATGAAGTGATCTATATTATAGTTCAATTTGAAAACCCCATAACAATACTGTGCATACAGTGGTAGGTTTAAAATAATCCGAAAAATATATATACTCCGAGTTGTTAACCACCGAGGATTAATGCATTGATAGAAAGTGTAAATTTGCATTCTACTGCATTAAAAAACTCCTTTCGCGTCCCCCCTGCGTTAGAAGACGCCCCCTACTAAGGGTTGCAGCCCCTATATTGGAAAACAGTGCAATAAGGGGATAGAATTCGTTCTGGGAATGTTCAGTTTAGTAGCGGGAAAGGTTGGCGTGGCTTGTAATACGCTGTCCGAAGTAGTTAGTGGATTATCCGCGCAATTGAAAGAATTAACCCCTTTGTGCTCGCCGTATCGTTTCCCACACGCACCGCTTTCAGACTATTTATTCTGCTATTACGATATAGTTAAGAAAAGATTAGGTCAATGACCAAATTAATAACTGTCCCATCATAATAATCGTGTAGTTCGTAGATCAAACAACGATAAAACATCGGCCAATTTTTCACCGGCCACCTTTTCATCGCGTCAGCCCTATCCGAGCGTCGGGCAGCGAAACGCAGGCAATTATCATATCGTTCGTCCGACTAGAAACAATGCAACGCGTCCAGGTCGGAACAATGCTCGGCCGTTACGAGTGGAGAATCGTTCCCTTAACGAGCGGGCCAGATACCATTACGTAGTTTCGATAAGAAAAACACGGGGGCGGGCGTTTAACGGTATCTCCGTTGCCGAGGCGCGGCGGTAATTACAATTTTTCCAGAAATCTAGCGGAAAATCCGCTAGCTTTCGAATCACCAGGCGAACCCAACCTAGAAGGGGCGCGGGGATGAAAGCGGCGGAGCGGGAGGGGCAGGGGGGGGGCGCGGTGCGAGAGTTTCTACGAAACGGGGGTGGCGCGCGCGCGAGAGAGCAGAGCCGGGGCTGCGCGACGCGGAGGGAGAGAGAGAAGTCATTATGATGCAGAAGAGCCAATTTTCTGGGCGGCTTGGCGCGATGCGACGCGATACGCCGCGATGCTGCGCGATTATCATAACAACCGACGATATTATTCCGTCGCCGGATTTGCCATTCGAGGGGGGGCCGCCCGGAGGACTACTCGGCTGCCAGCGGTCGAAACGGATTTCGCCGAACGGGCTCTGATGCACTTTTAATAGGAGGAGGGGGCCAGGGGGGCCAAGCCTGACCACCCCCCGGGAAGATGGATGACCGGAGAATCGTGTAATCCCGATTTCATCGTCCCGATCGATCGTCCACCCCGTCCCCGTTCGATTTCGTCGTCTTTCGCCGCCGGGACGGAGATTTTTCCAGCCAGGAGACGCGAGATTTTTTGCTCGAGGACGCGAATAGCGGGCCGGCAGTCGGTTGATTTCGTTTGCAGCCAGTGTCCCGTACCGGGATAAAGGGACGATAATGATGGGGTTCAAGGACTGGTTAACGCAGATTAGCGGAGCAATTTGTCACGCTCCGACAGGCCACCCCTCGCGAGGCCCCCCACCCCCCCGTTGCTACCCCCGTTCGCTGTTTCAGCTACTCCTTCGCTCTGTTTCTACGTCGATTCACCTCCCCTTACGAACGGGATGCCTTATCGGCCGGGATTTTTCCTCTTATCTGTCCGCCAGACTCCATTAAATTCGAGAGTCAACTGTGAAATTGGGATCGGCGCGGACCGAACGGATTCGATCATCGCGCGGTGATAAGCTTTCCGTGGCAGATGCCTCGCCCGATTCGCTCGATCGCTGGGAGGGATTTAATAATCGACGATTCGCGATATTTTTCCTTTGTTTGTTATTTATTGGGTGTGGAAATAGACCGGGCGAGGCGTTTAGCGGGGAACGAGGACCGGGAACGAATTTTCTTCGTGCACCGATCCGAATCGAACGCGATGCGACGCTGGGGTGAATTTAGAATCGGGGTATTGCGGGGAGAAATAGATTGGTATCGCTAAATTGATAGATTCTATAATTTGTAAATATCCATGCTAAGGTTCTGTATTCGTTTAAGTTAAATATAACGTTGGATACGCGAGTGGGGCGAAGTTTAACTTGAAACCGACGCGTCTGGAAGCAATATGTCAGAGAATTCGGAATTAAGCACACGGGGACGATGTGACCAAGGTGTTCTAGCATTATTTTCTTGAAAATCTCCACATCTAAAGATATCGTACACTCAAATATAGAATTGAATCGCAATTAGAGCAAAGTTTGTCCGTAAATCGATGCAATGAGAAAGAATTTCCTGATTTAAGATTTGTTGTAACCAGGGTAAACTAGTTTCCCTAATATCTATACGATTTATAGTTTCTTCTACTTGCACAAAGTCTAAAAGACCCATTATAGCAAAATTAGGAAGGCTATGTTCTGATTCTAGGACGATTATTACCATTCCTAGAAACTATCCTACCCATACACAAACTCAATCAAACTCAAATACACTCCACAGATCTTCGAACCTCGTTTGCAAGATCGAATAAAAACTGTCACGCTACAGTTTTCTTCACCTATTACGCAAAAAACCATCAGCATTTAGACAGTGGTACGATTGCTAGAACATCCAGTATTTACCAGCGAAAGGCGGCGGAGGTCCGATTAAAATGTTCCGCGCGAGAATCGTTTAAGCGGATCGCGGGCAAATGAGTCGCCGTGGAGCTGACAGAGGCGTCATCGAGGCCGACATTTGGTGACTATCTTTCCCGTGTTCCGAGTAACCGGTCCACGTCGTCGCTTTAGCGGCAGAATAGCCCCGGTGCCCGCGAATAACTTCGTAACGCTCGAAATTGCACGCCCGCTCGGGGAACAAGCCATCCTTCCAGCGTCTAAAGTTAGAACGAGGAAGAAACCGAGGGATCCACGGGCGCGCGAGCACCACGGGCGAAAAAATATCGTTCAAGATCATCGTGATCGCGCGAGACGAGGCCCACATGTTCCCCGGAGGAGACAGCCAAGGAAGCGGGGCCGTGTTTTGGTGAACGGTTACGACGTCGGAAGATGCGCGTGCAAGGAGGAAGCAATAAAGATGCGGTCCGAGGTTTTTGGCAAGAAAAAGCCCCGGAGGATTAGGGGACTTCGCGAGCTATCAAGCCCGGCTATTCGGAAGCAACAAATCCGGGAAGATTAATCGCTCGTCGGCGCGGGTACGCTGCTTCGATGAAATTAGTTGTCGATTGCTCAAGCGAGTTCCACCGATCGGAGACAAACTTCTATTGGCGACTCGCGGAATTGGCAAACACGCCGATTGTACTTTGCAAAAGTCATTTCGATGTTCGCTGGGAGTCTTTGTACCACGAAACATCAAATAATATGTTTTCTGGTTATCGTTCCTTGGATCAAACGTTCTAGAGACAATTGGACCTGTAGTGATTTTGGTACTCTATCAATCATTCCGCGGTGCGAAGTGCCCTGACAATCATTATTTCTATTAGATCCGATGTTCTCTCGAATAGTGTCTATTGTAATTTATTAATGTACTCTATTAGAAGACACTCTGCAGTGTGAGACGATGACGAAACTGTTTGCTGCGCGTCTCTGATCATTAATCCTTCTGTTAGATCTGAGGGTATTTCTTATGGAAACTGACTGTATGATTTACATACCAAGTTTGATTTTCAATGACTAATGGAACATTTTATATCATGAAAAGGTGATCAATTGGCTAGAAGTCTACTAGAAGAGATTCTCTAGATAGGTTGATCAATATGTGTGTGTCTAATAGCTGTTCCTTCTGTTGTACCTAATATTCTGTCCGAGTATATCGTGATTTATTCACCGAATCTATCAGAAGAAATTTTGTAGTATGAAAAGACGAGTCTGATCATCGCTCCTCCTATTAGGTCTAACGTTCCAGCTAATGGCAACTAAGTTTATTATACATTGACCTAGTTTCTCAGAAGATACTAAGTACCGTGGAAGGTTGATGAAACTATGTTCAGTGCTTTTCTAATCACGTTACTAGGTTTCACTTTCTCTCTAGTGGTGATTAACAGACTCGTTTATGTTATAGAACATATTTTATTGGCTACTCACTTAGCGACGGAGTTGGAACAAAAACTGTTCCTTCTACTGACATTAGAGTACATCAAACCTAAAATTCCTTCTACAAACATCCAACGAAACTGTCAAACCTCCTAATTGCAATTACACTACAATCTTTAGGATGAAAGGATTAGTCCCTCTGTTAGACCTAGAATTCTGTCTATCAACACCCGATGAAACTGTCGAATCTACCGATTGCAACCTACAAACACTGCTTTCTCGAGCATTAACAGAGCATCAACAACCACGCAATCACTCCACAGAGCTGGAAAGATTGCCCCTAACTTCTCTCCTCTTCGTTCCTAACGTAATCTTCACGATAACAATACTATTAACGATTAGTGGACCTTTTTCAAAGTATCGGATCACTGAATTCCATTCAGGGGCAATCTCTCCAGCTCTCATAGTTCCATACATCCTCTTTTCGACGAATCTAGCGGTTCTATCCCCGGGAACTGTTCGTCCAGCGTTCGACGTATCGCCGACGGGCATGGGCAAGCAAAAACCAGTAATCTAATCACCTTCGTGCACGCTATCGGCCCGCCGATGTCGCCGATGCTGATGGGTACTGTTAACGACGCGTCCGCCGGTGAACTTATTGGGATCCAGTATATTCTCCACCGAGAACGCTAAACACCTCTTCTTTGCTTGGACGGTGCTGGCGGTGGTGGTGATGCTGCCCGTCGCGGCGCCAGTCGTCCTGGCCGCGTTGCCGGAAGTGCAGACGGTCATCACCGTCGATGCCGCGGCGGCGTGCGCGGCTATATACACGGGTGTCCCGTGGCCAGCGCTTTGAACACAAGAGAAAGAATGCACGCCGCGGTTCGCGAACGGGTTCAGGAACTGATCGGACCCGGCGCCCCTCGACGACGGGGCGGTGAGGTCCACGGGGCTGCTGGGGTTGCTCTCGTCGACTTCGTCGCGGCATACGTCCACCTCGACGTCCTCGTCCTCCTGGTAGTTACCGTTGCGACTCCCGGGATGCATCTCCTCGTCCTCTTCCTCCTGCTCCTCATCGTCGTCCTCGTCCTCGGCGATGTTCCTCCTCAGGGTGACGTTCCTCTCATGCTCGGGCTCGTCCTCTTCCTCCTCGTCCTGCTCCTCCTCCTCGATCTCCGTGTCCATCCTCTTGTCCCTGATCTCGTCGTCCGTCTCGCGAAAGTCCTTCTCGACGGATCGCAGGATCGGCGAGGTCGACGGCGAGTGTTGCTGACGCGCGGCGTCGTAGCGCGCGAACGGCTCCGCGGCGCGTACGTGGATCAACACGTGCCTCCTTTCTTGAGGCGGCAGCGACAGCCCGGCACGCATATCGGCTTCCTCGCGCGGTAGAACGACCGGTCCTAGAGGCGACACGGTCCTGCCCTCCTGCATCCTCCACATAACCACCGCCGTGCTGTCTTTACCTGCCACCGCGACGCTCCATCGCCCGGTCTGGCTGGACACACACTTGGGCTGTCTCTGCGCGCGGCCGACGGTCCCTCAAAAACGTGCGTCGACGAGCGTCCCGACGCGGGCCACCACCGACACCGGGGACATCTCACTCTCTCATCGTCACTAATCCTTTGCTAGGGTTCACTGTTGCGGTTCGCGCGCAGCACCGACGGATCATCCGCGTTCCCGCGATCCTGGCAGCCTACGTCCGTTCACTGAACTCAACTAGACACTGGGACAACAACGGGGGCCCGCTCACCGGGTCAAGAGAGATCTCGGCGTGGTCGCGCGATTAGCAGTGTCTTTGGTAGGCAGACGCCGCGCGCGTCCCGTAAAAGCTACTCTCGGGGCTTGCACGCAGTGCCATGGTGGCTGAATAGGCGGTATATCGGCGTATTATTAGTACCGAGGAGCCGTCGTAGAAACGTAGTCGCAACGGCGAGCGACACAGTCCCGCGAGGTGGGGGCTGGACACGCCCAACAGGGGCGGAACCACCCCCGTGGCAGCTTACCGGAAAGCTCGACGGTCGTTCGATGGGCGTGCTTGGGTTACGCGGGGGTTGCGCGCACACACGTGCTACCCCTCGTCGGTGGCGGGTATGCGTGTGCGCTGGGGGTTCACGTGCGCGTGAACGCACCCACACACCGACCGAGGGGCTGAATGGACGGGCACGAACACGAAACGGGCGGCCGCGTGCAGACGTTTCGCGGCCCCACGAGCGAGCTTTCGCCAGATACTCGGGTATGTACACACAGGGTCTACCTTGCCCCCCCTCTCTCCGGCCACGTCCGGCCCACCCCCGTTCCCCGTTCCGCGATCCAACCGGCTAAAGTGGTTTGTCTTTGATTTAACCACCACCGCCACCGCCGCCGCTGTCGATGGAGGAACGCTTTTCCCTCCACGCACGTTGCCGTCGTTCAACGTTTTCCCGAGGATGTGTGGAGGAGTCGCGCGCGTTCCGCTCGCTCTCGGGCGGCGTTCGTGATCGCGAAACCATCGTCGGGGTCTGCCCGATGATCTTCCCGTTGTCGGGGTAGGGCGGCGCTTCGCGCGCCTCTAGGATCGTTGTGTACAGTAATCGTGCCGGGAGTATAATCGCGAGGGCTATGCCGGGTATCTACGAGTCTATCTCTATCCGGTACGCCGTCTCCTTCTCCGCGTCTTGCCTTTCCTCTCTGTTCGCCGCTCAGGGTGGAGGCCACACCAGGACCAATACAACGTCCGTTGGATAGAGAAGCTGCAGCTGGTGCTGTCGGCGTTGCTGGTAGTGATGGTGCTGTTGCTGCTACCGCCGCCGCCGCTCTTAACTCGGCGCACGGATATTGTTTACCCGACCATTTAGGTAATTGCTGGCCTACCGCCCTGCCAGCCAATCGAACGTAACCGGCGGATGAGCTTGCAATACCGAGCTCTCTCTCAACCCCCCAGCTTCCATGCCTCACTCTCTCTCTCTATATATATATATATATAGCGTGCTCTTTCTCTCTCTCTTTCCACCCCTCGATTTTTTTCTCCACTGTTCGATCTGTGATACTACTCCCTCTCTATTTCCCTCTCTGTCTGTTCGGAGTATACTCCGATCATCATCGAGTTAGCTGAGGAGCCAATCGCTCGGCTTCACGCCGCTGTTCCCGCCGCGAATGATCGATTCTTTACGCGAAATTGAGGAGACAGCACCTTCTCTGTCCGATCCGCAGCCCGATTAGTCATTGTGCTCTTTCCTAGGATCTCTTTGCTTTTAGGGATTTGGGGAATTTGTCGATCCCTTTTGGTTTTGCTCGGTGGAGGGAATGTTTTTAAAATAATTTAGAAGGGAATGAGACATTTAAATTCTACGGAACGGGTCTGCAATTACACCGATGTCCCTATACGGAATTGGAAAGAAACGGAATAAAAGAGAAGTGTGCATCCATTGGAGGGAAAACCAATTCTTAGTGACCCTCGTGTCGATACCCTCAGACGGGGTTCCGAAAGAAGGAGTTTCTATCGAGACGATAGAATACATTCAATCTTTTATAACGATTTTTAGACAGAGATAGTTTGTCCAAGGAATCTGACCCGATGGTCCGAAATTTTATTTCAAAATCCACGAAACTAATATACCTGGAATTTCGAGAAAATGTAGAAAAAGTAAAAAGTATGTTTTCAAAGTTCTAGAACGGACTGCCCCCTTAATAGGAAAGGTTACGCAAACGCTCCCGCAGGAACGATCCAATTAGCGGCGGTACGACGAGCCGATTCGATCTGGCCGTCTTAAAATTGCGTAATTCCCCGGGAATCTGTTATCGATCTCGTAGCTGCGCGTGTATCGCATGGCTCGCGTAATCGAGAAGCGGCCGCGGGCCGCGGCCGTTCAATCTCGCCGCGTCAAAGAAAGTAACGGAATAATTCAGGGAACGCGATTGCTCCGCTCGAAATATCATCGCGTTCCCGGTAAGTGTCTAGAAGCGTCGAGCAGGCGTGTCGGAGCGTTCCGGGAGCAGATGGTGGCTCCGGTTCCTTGAATGATTAATGCACCCCCGGAGTCTTTTATTCCCGATTCTCCGTCGTTAAATTTAGAGAGCGAGAAAACGCTGTCAGGATAACTGCTCTCTGCCCACGCCTCCTCCTCGGTTAATAAGCTCGAAGGTTATGCGTACGCTTCGACTTTCCGTCGCGCGACAGTTTAGTCGTCGCGGCGAGAGAATAGTCTTTAGGTCAGGAACACACCGTCGACTTTCCGTCGCGCGATAAATTGCTCGATGTAGTGTGCAGAGATCGAAAGTTGCCGACTGCTCGCAAACTTCTCGATGCACGGCCATTTGAACTCGGTTGACCTCTCCGAGGGAACATCGGATACAATTCGAATGCTCCCTCTATAATAGAACACTAAGAGATTTCTGGAGGTGGAAATTTTCCAATCATGTTGTATTAAAGAAATAATAAGTTGATCAAATCGTTTTGCGTAGAAAAATCCAAATTCCACTAACGGTTTCTTCAATTATGTTTGTTAACGTTACGAAAATTCAAAGCGTACGGTTTTCCACTATTTCGTGATACCTGTGTGCTCGAAGGGAGCAAAGTGCAAAGGTACCACGATCCCCAAAAGTGGCGTTAGCCCCCCCGAAGAAGCCTTTTGTCGGAGACAGTAAAAGCGAGCAATCGTCGGCGGCGCACGGCACGCGCGCAACGCAGCGCTCGCGTTGTAGGTGTAAATTTTTAATTAAGCTTCGGTGGCCGGCTGCAAATTGAGCTGCAGCCGGCGCGCCGGCATTCAATGCAGTAAATGCACCGTGGGCGGCGCGCGTGTCATTTGCGAATTAAATTAATTTGTTAGTTCTTATGCGGTGGCCGGGAGAGTCGGGCCGAAATAAATTTACGATAATGCTCATTAGCCGGCCGCACGCGCGCCCGCGTGCATACACGTACACGCGCGCGCACGGACGCGCACACACGCGAAAATTAGCCGTTAGCAGCGTGGTACCGCGATGGCAAATCATGGTCGCGAGAGGAGCGACCCGATTACGGACGCCCGCCGCCCCGAAACATCTGTATCCGAAGTATTAGGTCGCGCCACGTGAAATTGCTCGATATTCGATCCTGTTGAAGACTGACCGCGATTAATAAAGTAAACTCAAAGTAATCGAGGATGGTGCAATTGCTACGATTCGAAATTATACCACCCTTCCCTACGCGTTAACACTAATTCTACCACAGTTCTGTGAATAGCTATTCCGATCAAAAGGTGTTCTTCAAAAGATTAAAGTATTGCTTCACACAAGCTACGAATTCTTATCTAGATAAGAACGATGATATTATATCATATATTCTACTAAGTGAGTACTAATTCTGCCACTAGATCGTCAGACTATTTATCGGTGGCTAGAAAGCAATTAGGTTCATAGTTCGTCCAGGGAATTCGTCTAACAAGTGTGAGCGTGATTTTTCTATTCGTAGTTTCCCCAACCCCTTGGACCAACGAAAGTAGCGAGAAAAAGTCGCCGGTACGTATCGAGCCTAACTCACCGATCGCCGATGCGTGTCACGCTCGACGTGCGACTTTCAAGCTCATCCCCGATCTGATCGAGAGAAAAAAAACCATACACACAGAGACGCACACAGCGGCCGTTAAGCATCGAACAACCGAGGCGGAAGGGTTGCGAGGTTGCAGGTGAGCACACCGCCGGATTACCCTACCTGCCAAAGTGATGTGGGTTTAGGCGAGCGTTCCTAATAGTTCTGAAACGGTGCACGAGTCGAGGAGCAAGCTAGGTGGATAGATAGATGGCTAGACCGGCAAAAGGAGGAGGCTGGGAGCGAGACGGCGTTATACCGGCACGAGAGAGCCAGAGGAGGATAGATCGATAGACAGGGTCGTCGGTAGGAGGAAGACGGACCGATGCAGGCGCATCGGGCGACAGAGGAAGACGTAAATATAGAATAAGAGATGATAGGCGAAACAGAGAGGCGGATAGAAGGCGGCTGTAGAGGGTTGGGGTAGTTTGGAACGGAGATCGAACAGACCAGCCGTGACCAATTTGCGCCCGTTCGTGCTCCCGATTCTGATCCCGATCCCGTTCGCTCCGCGTACCCAACACGCTCACGAGTTCCCCCGTTCACGTGCACGGGCACCCGGGACACCCACACGCGCGAAAACCGGCTCCGATCTTTTCTGCGCGAGACCCCCCCTGGCAGGGCCAACGATGCCAAAAGATATCCGTCAGAGAGGAAAGTCGCGCTGTGTTGTCGCTCGTTGTGCGCCGGCCACCCCAAAAGTTTCACGCCTATCTGGACCGACGGCACCACCTCTATTCGCGCCACGATAATTGGCCAATTAAAACCGGACGAGAGCGTTCGAGTTACCTGGCATCCGATAATTATACGGTATCGTCGCGGTGGTTCGACCACGTATCCACGCGACCAAGGGGGGCGTCGGAAAGGGAGAAGGGGGGGAGGCCTCCTGGGCGAA